TGGACAAACCAAGTCTTACCCTCAGCAGCTTCATTCAAAGGTGTGTGAACTAATGCAGATGTATATATCTCACACAGCTGAAGAGTAAATTTTACTGAATCAAGCATCGCTGCATGTGACTCCAACATGAAACCTACCAAAACCATACTTTTAAATAGGGATAGTCCTGCATTTTTATTTTGCTGTCTTATCTTCCTTTTAATGAGGTTGATATGTTAAGAGGTGTACCTTTTACTGTACTACTTAAAATTTGTTCAAATTATTTGCCTGTGAAAACTCCTGGGGCCCCTTTAGTGAAATACTGCAGACATTAAGGAAAAAAAAAAAAAAAGTAATTTGGAAAAAAATGTATATATTTCCCTGTATAGAGAAATACTTCTCATACACAGCTGTGATGTTTTAGCTAATATGTGAAAAAAAAGGAGTATGCAATAGCATATCTCTGTGTCAGCATTTAAACATGTACAAGTACACTTCTGAAGCATTACTGAAATAGAAGGAAACTGATTATATAAATCATACCATATAAAAAAAATATACAAATAAAAAACTTGTGATGATGTTCAAACAAAAGAGCTATGTGAGAAAGAGGCAGTGGGATTACCACTTCCACGTAGTTCAAAAGTGATTATTTGGATATAGCCTTCTTTTGTCACTTAGAATCTATGATTTGCATTAATCCCTAGCTTAAAGAGTACTATAATGAAACAAATATATTAGTAAGCTAGAAACTCTATACTGTTCTTAACTGTTATGCAAATTTTCATTTCTGATATGTATTTTGGGCTTACTACCCAGAAAATACCATTTCCCTTTTGAGACATGAGACAGAAACAACATGAAAAGAACAAACAGAAGCAGAGAACCCGCCCAACTTTATTTGGAGCCAATTTCCTCCCCTTCTGTATCTGAACTAGATTCTTCCTCCTTTTCTTTTTCCTCCTTTTCACTTCTCTTTCCTTCTAAAGAAGGATAGAACTGTTCTGGGATGTGCTTTCTTTCCAGAAAGTCAAAATCTAGATGGGAGCCAATGTTCCATCATTTATTCCCCCAAAACTCTTTTTAATTTTGGTTTGGGTCTTTCAGGCCTTCCATGGAACTCCAGTTTCATCTAGGATTCACTTTCTACTTCATCTGCAAAGAAATACGGCTTACAGTACAGCCTTCTTTCACAGTTGGAGAAAAATGCTGAAGAGCTTCAAACAGCAGAAGCTACCAGATCACAGAATTACAGAATATTTCAGGTTGGAAGTGATCACTGGAGGTCTCTAGTCCAATCAAGCTCCCTCTCAAAGGGGTATCGACTATAAGATCAGCCCAGGCTACTTATGACTTTATCAAGTCACACACTGGAAATCTCCAAAGATGGAGATAGCAAAACCCTCTGGGCAACCTGTTCCAATGATGGGCATCTCTCATGATGAAAAAATTTCCCCTTCTAACCAGTCTGAAACTGTTTCAATTGAAGCCTATTGTCTCTCACCCCCTTGTCATGCAGCACTGTGAAGAACCCGTCTTTCATAACGTCCTCACAGACATTGACAGGCTGCTGTTAGGTCTCTCTGAAGCCACCAAATAAAGATATTTTTCCTTTTCCCAGGCTGAACAAAACCAGTACCCTCAGTCTGTATTTACAGTGCAAATGCTAAAGCTTCCTGACCATACTGGTGGCCCTCTGTCAAACTCACTCCCATCTATATATTACTTTTACTGGGGGACCCAAAAATGGATGCAGTATTCTACACACATACCAGGAATTTTTCTCCTGAAGAAAAAGAAAAGAGATTTGTTTTTGTTCCTGAAGGTCTCCACTTGTCTCTCCTTTGAGCATGCCTGTGCATACATACATTTGCATGTTCACACATACAGATATTCTGGACCTAAACATCCCTTCCCTGATTTTGCATACTAAAATGCTATTTGGCTTATTCTGGGTTATACTAGTGTTAGTGAAAGACAGATCAGTATAAAAATATACATTCTAATGTTATATACATATATGCATACAAAAATTGTGAATATATGCACATGGTCATTAGTTTTATAACCAAACCCCTAAAAAGTGGCTGTGTAAAAAGGCATGGCTTTAGGTATCCCTTGCACACTTCAACATTAGCCTCTAGCAGTTGGTTTTGGTGGTGTTTTTTTTTCCTTAAATTTGTTTCTCCCAAGTTAAAGGATGATGTACAAATCTCAGTTAAAACAAGGAAACAAAGAAAAATACGAGAAAATGCTTTTTCTAAGGCCAAGGAAGACCTAAGAGCAGAAGGAGAAGAAGGCACCAAATGAAGCCAAAATTCCCAAGCTGCTGTTATGGTTGCACCACAGAGATAACAGAAGCTGTGAGAAGCTGGCAAACATGAAAGAACAGTAGGTGAAGGAAGTGTGCACCCTGCATAATAAGGTGCCTCACTGCAGTTCTACAGATGAGGAGTGGAGCATGTGTGGAAGCCTACACTTTGCTCACTGGGGAGATCTAAAGTCCAAAAGAGAAATAAATCCAGCAAAATGTAGTCTTGAACAGCAAATCATCTAGCTAACTCATCTGGATCGAAGCACCAAACTTTCACCTCGTTCCAAACTAGGCTGCCTGAAAAACATTCTCAGTGCTTAATCTAGATTGCTATGGCATGAGAAACACCAAACAGAAATAAAAAGACTCAGTAGACATCTACACAAGCATTCCTTAACTAGTTTGAACATCTAAAACAGAGAGTAAATTTTCACTCATGTGGGATGGCCTGGGAAGTGCACTCTCTGCTTTGTCATTCTTTATTATTGTTCTCATCCCATCCTTGGTCTGATACAGCCCCCAGAGCTTTATGCAAAAATGACATATATTCTTTTCTTTATCTGTCTTATTTGGCATGTGTTCAAAGTACTGCTACATTATTGGATGACAGAGGCTGCAAATGCTCACGTAGGAAAACCATGATCAAAATGTTAAGAAGTTCATAATAGTCCTCCTAATGGTGTAATTAATTTCTAACCAAGGCAAAAGATAGGCTTGAAACCTCAAACATTGCTACTAGGCACTTAGTGCTTCTAAAATAGCTACTAGGCTATTAGTACTACTAGGAGTCATTTTTGTAGCCTTTAAAATCCTTCACCAAGTTCAACTCCAGGTGGCCTTTGGCTTTCCTTAGCCATGTCTCTGTATGCTCAGTGTCTCTATACAGAAAGGTTGTGGATTATCTGTCCACAGAGACATTTAAAACTCAACTGGATGTGGTCTGGGGCAACTTGGTGGCACTCCTTGAGCAGGGGGTTGGACAAAATGACCTCCACAGCTCCCTGCCAACCTCAATCAATTTGTGACTCTCTGGGTCCACTTCAGAATGCATTAGAAAAAAAAAAAAATCCTCTAAGGACAGTGAAGTAAGAGATAAAAGTCTGTCAGTTTTGATGTTCTGAATTAGTGTGTAACTTGTATAATTTAGCAGTGATACAACAATTCTTGCCCCAGGGGGTATTTAAGTGAACGTTTCCACACATTATGGCTAAATCTTGCAAATGCCATCATCAAGCTTACAGTGATGTTTAGCCTTTTCAAATTAAAGGCCTTAAGTTAATAGCATGGTACATTCTAATGATGATTCCTGTAAGTCATGGTTGTTAACATTTTTGAGATTTAAAGCATTTACATGAGTAAACTGCAACTGCTGCCTACTCCAGTTGTTAAATGCTATGTATTACTGAAAACTTGATATGCTGTTTCAAACATGTAACTCTTAAGTCAATGAAAAATCTCCTGCAATGTTCAGAGACAAACACAAGCAAACAATTTCTGAAATATCAATACAAAATTGCATTTCAGTTTTAAAATGATTCTACAAAACCCATTTAAATGAGCAATATGGGTACTATAATAATTTCTTTCTAGCTTGGTAAATCATACCATAATTTGTGTACACACTAAATGCTGACCAAATTCATTAAAAGCAATAATCACAAATTGCTTGGGGTTTCTATTCACTATTAACAGGCCTTAAATAAATGCCTATGAGATTTAGGAACAAAAGCTGTTTTTGAAACTTTCCTCCAAGGTTTTAATAAACTTAATGAGAAGGGGAAACTCGAAAAACCTCTAGAAACCTGAGTATTTTTCACTTGTAAATGCTGAAACACTGAAAACATACACAGTTCTGCTGCTGCAGATGCTTTTTAGTCATAACTAACTAGTCCTCTTTATTTCCAATGAACGTAATATTCACACTACATTTATTATTTACCTCTGCAGCCCACATCCCTCATCACAGACATTCAGACTTCAGATTCACAAGTTTCTGCTGTGCTGATGCCAATTCTCCTGCCTTTAACCTGCTGGCAGCTCTGTATCCCCTCTCACACAGGAGGTCAGCATGAAATGAGAGCTGTAACCCAACATCACTCCATAAAACAACCTAACTCCTTCACTGGACCACACAGAGCTTTTCCTTAGGGACTAAAACCCACTGATCCATGCAAATGTTCATTGCAGCCCACCTAAATTAATGAGAGAAGGGCAATTTCTCTCATTCTTCGTACTGCTACAGAATGTAAGGAATTGAAACATATATTATATTGGTGTGGAAAAAGAAATAAGTCTTCTAGAATTACAGATTTTATTATTTTAAAATATATGTTGACTAAGTTACGTAAGTGCAGCAAACAGGGAAGAAACAAAAACTGTCGTCAACCAAGTCTTTTGTCCTCATGTTTTTTTAAGTGAAAAACATTGCTATAACACAGCTCTTTCATTTCTGTGAGAATTGACTGCCAGCAACATTCCCCTTCCCTCAGCAAAAACTAATAGAAAATTTAGGCTATAAGAAAGGGACTTCTATTTCAAAGAAACCGTTGGTGAGCAGTAAAGCAGAAATGCAAGCCTTGATTCATTGATGTATTCACATTTCCAACAAATACCTATTTGATAAGGCCATTTCCTCACTCAGAGTCAGACACAGTACAGAAAATTTCCCCTATGAGTCACTGATTTATATTAGTATTAATTATTTTACCTGTAATAAACACGCAATGTCTGGATTTCTTCTTCTAATTTTTTGCACTGTTGAAGAGCAGCCTCTTTTTCTTGTTGCAGGGCTACCAATTCTTCCTGTGAAGTGATAAAAAAATTATAAACAATTTATTCAGAATATCCATATTGCTTTGAAAACTTAACAATCCTCTGTGCATTCATTTGAGCAGTGCTCTATTATAAAGTTATTAAAGCTATGCTGTTTTATAACACTGCCTATTTAACTCTTATGAAAAAACTTTCTTGTTCTAGCAATGCAATTGTTTCTAATTTGTTGGGTTTTCTTCCCCTCAGCAGAACGATGCTTTGAATGGCTTCCCCCATGTGTATGGTAAACTCTTCAGGTGGCTAAGGTTAGACTTCTGTTCAGCCAAGTGTTTATCAAAAAATATATTTTATATTGATATATATTTTTTATTGCACTATAGTGCAAAACTATTGAGCAATATGCAGCCAGTTAAGCAAGGCGCTTGGCCCCAAACAACCAGTGTGCGACTCTTGGTCTGCACATGGCTTTCCAGCTATTCAGCATGGCTCTTTTGGTGAGAGCCACTGGCTGATGTTACCAGCAGGACAGCTGCTGGATAACTGGCACACTGAGTGGTGGTAGACAGTGAGGCAATGTGGGCTGACAAGACTGGCACCACTGGCTCATTTTGGAATCTGGGTGCATTCTCACCCAGGACCCGGATTATAGTGGAGTGAGGGAATCTGTGAGCAACCGTCATCTCCCACCTGTGAACCCTCCCGGATATTTCCACTCCTGTTGTTTATTCACATCACGCTGTGAAGGGCTTGTGACTCACAGCCATTATGGAGATTGCAGCATGTGGCTTGTAAGTCAGGAAGGTAGCCAGCCCCAGCAGGACTTTATGGTTAAAAAGGAGGTAGGAGAAGTAAGTATTCGTGTATATTTAATAGGGCCCTATAGGTTAATCACCAGTAATTTTCAACGTCCAGTTTCAGTAGCACTGCAGGACTCACTTGAGAGCACAGATACCATATAAATTATCTTGAAATCGGTGGATGATTAATTGTTGTAACAACAAATAAGACCAGGCTTGCACAGCAATTCTTTGACACATGAGCCTGAGCATTGGGCTCCTTTCCAATGTTTTTAATTCATGGTGTAAGTTATTAATTGTACAAATTTTACAGCCCCAAACCAAGACGTACATGTGTGAGAAATGCTGACTGCAGATTCTGCCAGCTCTTCAGGATAGCGTTGTGGAAAAGTTTCTTGGTAAATTAAAGGCTTGTTACATGAGCTATGAATACATGAAGGGAAATGCACAGAGTTCAGCCTCTAGTGCTGCCAAACTCCCTGTATAATCATGAACAACCCTGTCTGTATGCCTCAAAATCTCTCTCCTAAAACAGGGCTCCCACTTGCTTCTGTTTCCTGTTTGCCTACTAAGACTTTAAGTCTTCAAGGCAGGTGCTTTACTGTTTACTGTCAACTCCCAGTCATCTATGGGCAATTTATTCTGCTGGTTGATTAATCATGTCCTGGATACATGGCTGGCTGCTGGCAAATTTTATTAAACACCACATTGCACAAATGCAGATACACAACCAATCTCTGCACTGTGCTGTTCAGTGTGTCATGTTGCATGCAGGGTTTTGCATTGCCCTGCATACAGAGCCTAGCACTGTAAGTGCTCCTGCAATGGACATCCATAAAATTTTTATAGGAAGTTCACTAGAGAATAAACCGAACTTTCTTACTGTATGGCAAGTTCCTTCAGCTTCAAAAGCAGAAAGTGTTAATGTTTAACCTCTGAGTGACAGTAGTTTAGAGCTTCTGATACTGAAAACAATGTACTGAATGCTGGCAAGCCCTAGCTCCTGTCAACAAGAGGTTAAAATCCTCTGCATGTGAGCCTCTTGTCTGGTGCTGCTTGCTGCCTTGCAAGCAGAACTCACAGAACACAAGGATGTTAGCCAAACCAAGCTATTTTCTGTAATTATACTGTTCTGTAGGTGAAACAACATTCTTAAAAATTGGAAAACACGCTTGAATCAAAGTAGGTGGTTTGTTCTGGAGGCCAGTAATTAACATCCTTGCCAATTTTCAGTGTACTGTGAAGTGTGATTGAAATGGTAGACTGGAAGGAAACGTTTGCAGCTGACACACCTACTCATGGAGAGATTAACAGCTAGTCTCTTTGGAGAGCTATCGTAAAATAGAACTGAAGTTCCACCTGCTTTTCAGGACAAAAGTCAGAAGGCACCAGAGTCTGAAGACTTTTTTATCTCAGTTTTTCAGAGAAAACTGCACTGATTTGACTCGGTTTGCACCAGTAAAAATAACAGCTGAATCAGGTGCTTTGGATAAAGCAAGCAAACAAACAAACCCTCAAAACAGCTACAAAAAGTGAAGGGAAGAAAAGAAGGCATTTGCTAACCTCCTCAGTAGCATGTAGTGGGGTTGATTCTAGGGAGTTGCATGAGACCAATAAAAATTCAAGCACAAGATTTTTTTGTCCAGAGTGCAGCCACACAACAGAACACCCCATCATTCACAGACCTGAAGAGTGGTAAATACAAAGGAATGACTCAAATAAAGCAAAATAGTGCCTCACACAAAGTTAAATTGCTAACTAAAATAATGATGCCTTCACTACTATAAAACATTTGGAAGACTCCTCTAATGTACATTGAAATCTATCCATAACGCAAATGGCAAAAATCCTACATGAGCTCACCTCTAGTAATAATAATAGCTGCTTGGGACCTTTGTAGCAAAATATTATTCCTTTGGAAAACGTCAAGCTCTGGAAATCAGAACTCTTCACAGAAATGGGTAAGTTTTGATTACTTTTTTTTTTTTTTGGAAGGTAGAGTAAGGAATGTGCAACAAGAGAAGAAAGAATTACACTTAGGTGCCTCTGGTGGTTTCCCCTAAAAATGTCAATGTAAAGGTGAGGTTGGTCACCACTTTGGTATTGGCGTCACCCTCAGTGAAGTTCCTGTTTAACCCAGAAAAGGTGAAACAGATCACTGATCCCTGGGATATGGTCTTTCTTCCAATTTTATTTTGCCCACAAGATCCTCTGCTTTCACATTTGGTTTAAGGTGGATAGATTCTTTCCCTCTCTATGTGCCCCCCCCCCACCGCTGCAAAAGAGAATTCGTGTTTCTACACTTATCCCATTTTGCGTTTGAGCAAACTTGCCAAAAAATTTAAATTTTGCTAATTGCTATCTATCAAACCTAAACCAGCCTGATCTTGACTAAGAAAATAACATTACTGATCCTGTTGTTATTGCTTTTGTTTCAAAATATCTAAATGAACAATGCTGTATGCTTTCTTAAGCCAAAGAATCTAAAAATACAAGACTTGGGCAAAGGAAAACAGAGAGTAAACCTAATTTTTATCTTTTTCTGATTCCTCTAGGGCAAACATGAGCATCCTCAACTCTAATCTAAATTGAAAGGTAAGAACACGCATCATCCTATGCTGCCAGGTTCCCTGTGGGTGACAGATGGCTTTTATAATGTTCTTTGACATCTGACAGAAGGAAAAAAAATTTCAATGAACTTGAATAATAGATATTCATAGCTATCTTTTTACTGTTTTTTGTCTAATGCATTTATATAAATCATATATATTTCCACCTATATATATCTATAGAAAGCATATATTTTTCCCTCCTTACATAGGTTAAAAAAACAACCTTTTGTGTTACCTCTCAGTAAGCAAGCTCTGTATTCTCCTGATCAATTCAAATGCATCTCTCATCAGTACTCTGCTAGCAGTACACCCTAACTCTGGTGGAAATATATTATGTGATACATTCTTGCATCCCTTTTGCTCACAGTCACCCTCTGATACATGTCTGTTCTCCTGCCCACTGGTACTACCCAGCTAACAGCGGAAATTCTTATTCATACTGGAACAAGGATACCTTACACTTGGTACCACTGAATTCCACCCCACTGCTTTTATTTTTCCAGTACTTGAGGCCATTCCAATCTTTCTACAAGATAGCTTGAACTTACTTTATTTGAATAATGTCTCCACTTTGTATTAATAACATCTCCCAGCTCTGCATCATCAAGCAATTTTGTTGGTACTCTGCTGCTCTTTATGCCAAAGGTTCTCAATGACACCATTAAAGAAAACTGGTTCAGCACCAGCTGTTGAGAAATTGGAGTGAAATTCCACTAGTGAAATCCTTGGACCTTAACGTTTCTCCTTTCAAAGCTGTTTGCCGTTGGCTTCCTGCTAACTAGTTCCTTATTGCCTTTGACTAATCCCTCATCTCCTTCATGGGTACATGAAATTTTGCAGACAGACATGAGCTCAACATGCCCATCCTTCCAAACAAGAGATGCTAGGTAAACCCAGCTAGCAGCAAGCAGCATTTCCCACATTAAGCTTGTATGTGCTTGTAAAATAACAATATACACATTCTCCACTGTAATGAATAATTTTCCATATGGCACCACATGCAGCTTATGTGTTAACTTACATTTAACAAGTTTCCTTGTCTAAATAGCCAGTTATCGTACTAAAGAAGAATTCTTGCATGATCTTACTTAGGTGAAAGTTTCACTTCAATCCACTGTTGATGGATACATGCTTTAAAATCATTTTTCTCCCAAATTTACTCTGAAGATTCACAATGAAGACTAACTGGGCTACAACTGCCAGAAATCTGTTTCTTTGCCCTTCTAAATATAGATGTCACCTCTGCTAATTCCCTGTCATACTACACTGTACACAGCCTCACAGGATTTATTAAAGAACTTCACTATCATTCTTGTAATTTCAGGTATAAGCTCTTTCAGAACTGGGGATAGAAACCTTCCATTATCCCAATCTGAACACAATAATGTGTTGAACAGCTAGGATGTACTCCATTTCCACACATTCACTTTTCTTAACCCCTGTCCTTGTAGTTGACATCAACATGGCCCAACGCTGAGAGAGAAAAAAAAAAAAAAGTCATGCAGATCCGGGTTATCCTTCATCTCCATGCCATTCTCAGAGCAATGGCAAATTTCCTCTTTCCTTGTTCTCATTTCAGTCGTTACACTATTGTTTGTTTTAATTTCCTTTCCAAAGGCCA